AACAAAAAAAAACCCAAAAAAAAAAAACCCTCAAAATCCCCAAACCAAACCAAAACTGAAACTGAAATAAAAACAAAACCACAAAAAAAAAAACAAAAACAAACCAACCAAAAACAAAACCCAAAAGCAATCAAACAAACCAACCAAAAACAAAACCAACCAAACAAAAAACTCAACAAACCAGCAAAACCCTCACTCAACTCTCTACTGGCCTGCACACTATGCATTCAAAACCTGCAGTGAACACTAGCACTTTTATACCTGAAAAGAGCCTCAAGGACAAAAAGGTCTGACTTTCTCCAATTTTTTTGATTTTTTGTGGCCCTTATTGAAGACCAGCTTCAAGGTCACCAACACTATGGCATCATACACATGTAACTATGCACATGGATGCTCACAGGGAAAAGCCAGGGAATGTAACCAGTGTGAGTGAGTGAAAGGAGAGATCCTTAAAATATTTTCCTTTGTGCACTACACTGTATTTCTGAACCAATTTCTTTTTTTTCCACAGGTCCAGTGCTCTTCCTTCTATCTCCCTTCTCTTCCACCATTGCTCAGAAAAACAGGCTTGGTTTCCTGAAGGTGCCTCTGCCCATGGCAGAGGTGTTGGAGTAGAACACCTTCGAAGTTTTTTCCCAGTCTAAACCATTCTGCAATCTCCTGATCCAGTGACCCTGGGAAAAGGAGGCATAACCCTTCATTAAGGCATGGATGGCAGCTTTTCATCAAACTCCCAGGTTTGGTGGAGTCAGGATATAAGAACACAAGCCCAGCAAAATTTGGCTCTAGGTGGATAGCCATTATTTTTGCTTCTTAATTTTAAGGCATTTGACTTTCTGAGCCATGAGTCTCCTTAGAAGTCAAAGGCTCCTTGGAGGCTGAGGCTGAGGAGAGGTGAACAGTATTTGTCTTGAGGGGATCCTCCTTCCTCCAGGTGGCTTGGGGCAGGTGCTTCACCTCTCCACACTTCTTTCCACTCTGTAAACAGGGATAACACTGAATCCTTCCATGACGAGCCACTGCTTCAGTGTGCGGTTTTGTGGTTGTTAGCAATGTTTTATCACAAAACAGGAAATTCCATGCTATGGGTTCTGTGGGAGAAGCAGATTTGCTGGTCTGCTCCTTCACCTTCTCCCTAGGTAGGGAGTACTGGGAAGAACTGCCATTTTCCCTCCCTGTTTCTATTTCCCCATCAACCAAGTCCAAAAGCAAGAGCAGATAATATAATTTTTGAGTGGTTGTTCAGCACTCAGAGAGAACACGTGGTGTACAAAATTAAGAGGAAGGTATGATTGCTTCTCCTCCAAGCTTACACACTGGAGGCTGATCCACTCACTAACTCCTCTGAGAAGTCAAAGGAAGAGAAATCTCTTATTGCAGACTTAGGTTAATTTGTCATGAGAGAGAGCACTTCTAATTTATCGTTAGAAGATTGGAAGTCAGCAAGATCCAGCCTAATATTGTGCAAATAGAAAAACAAAATTATAGAATCCTAGAATATGCTGAGTTGGGCAGGATTGATGGGGATTATCGAGCCCAGCTCTTGACCCCACTCAGGACACCCCGTGAATCACACCATCTGTGTGTCAGCCCTCCACAGACTAACCATGCAAGAGCAGCAAGTAACAGTATCCTTATGTTCATCAAGAGAAACAAATCAACACTAAGCTGATTGCTCAGCTCTCTACTCAACAGCCTGCAAGACTCACACAGAATGCACATCCATAAACCTTTTTGAGGCTGTGCATGTTGAGGTGTGAGACAAGAAACATGGAATTGTCCTTTATCACAGATGACAGGACTTGCAAACCTTGGAAACCTTGGAAACCAAGTCTCTTACTCACTAACCCATGCCTGTACCCATGGTACTTCTGTGTTACTAGGGTCCTTGTAACAGTTTTTAACATTTTTTTAAGACAAACATTTGTTTCCAGTGACAAAACATTGTCCTTGTAGGAAGGGAGAAAGGATATTTTTTAACATGAGTTAGGTAACTGGTGTGAAAGAGAGAGAATAAAGGAATTGGTAGCTGTGTTGGGATCATGACAAGCTGCAGGCAAGGGAGTCCTCAGGTTTGTTGCTGCTGTGACTGAATCCCTAAGTGACCCCCAGTGACTCAAGCCGAGCAGGAGCAGCCACTGCTCCATAGGAGTTGCTTCACCCTGCAGGGACTACTAAAACACGGAAATCAAACACGCAGAGAGCTGCCTGGGGACAAGGCCTCAGAAAGTGCTTGGAGTGGATGAACTGGGAAAGACAGGTACTGCATCCATGCTGGATCTGAGGATGTATTGACTGAGCATATACCTACATAGAGGAAGTGGCACTTCTACTAACAGCAAACACAAACCCTACATTCCACACTTGGGGCCTCCTATTCAATGCACACTTCCCCCAGGAACTTCAACAGGTTTTGGTGTACATGCAATATGTAACATATCTTGTATTCTTACTTGCTTGCTGCAAGTACTTACTTGCTGCACAGCTGCACAAATATAACACCTCGAAGAATACAGTTTAATCACTTGAAAACACAGTCTTTATGGAGTGATTCCTTGCTTTTCAAACCAGCAATGCTGAAATGTCCAGCATAGATGTCTCATTCTTATTTTCAGATGTTCTCTACATTGGGTGATAATATCCAAGTAATAATTTTATTTCCAGTTCTGACATGAAAGAACATAAGTGTATCAGCACTTTCATTGAATTCAATGGCACAACCAACTCATAGTAGCCCATGTGAGTAAAGTGATTTTTTAACAACTGTTTGCAGATCTGGGCCAAATCTGATTACACTGTAGGAAAGATACATATCATTTTATGTATTGCAATTTTCACTATTTCAGTTCAGATATTGCAGCTCAATCCTTAGTTGTTTTTTTGAGATTTATAGCAAGTATAGGAGACATGCAGAAAGCTGGCCCCTAAATGGTGCTATAATATATGTCTCTGATGTGTTGTCCATAGATGTCATTAACTATAACGTAGCAGACTGGAATTTCTGGAGCCAGCAGGACACATTTTGTGATTTCTCTTCCATCTATGTGGCAAAGATTACAGGGACTGTCCCTCACATTTGGCAAAAAATCTCATTTATTAATAGAGTCCTTGCTATCTTTATACAAGTGTTTTACAAATACTTTTTGAAATGCAGAAGTTAAACATGCAAAGTTAAAAGACACTTGAAAATTACTGATTTTTAATGAACAGAAATGACTCTGATTAAATAGCAGAAACAAGCCTAGCCCAGGATAAAATAGTTGGAAAGGATTTAAAGAGATCATGTAGTTTAGCTCCCTGACCACTTCAGGGCCAGCTAGCAGTTAAAGCCCAATGTGTATGGCACTGTCCAGATGCACTGACAGGCACGGGACATCAAGCACCTTTCTAGGAAGCCTGTGACAGTGTTTCACCATTCTCTCAGTAGGGAGGTGCTTCCTAATGTCCAAAGCAGAGAGAAGAGACCAGCACTCCCTCTGCAGGTCTGCTCCCCAGGGAGCTGTACAGAGCAATGAGGTCACCCCTGAGCCTCCTTCTCTCCAAAGCAGACAAACCCAGAGCCCTCAGCCGCTCCTCACAGGATGTGCCTTTAGCATCTCCTAGTTCAGTGTTGTCAGCAAATGGCCCATTCAAGTCCTGCATACAGATCATGTATAAACTGGTTGACCAGAACTGGTCCCACAGTGAATTCCTGAGGAACACCAGTGGTGATTGCTCACTGGGCAGATGCAGCCCCAAACACTAAACCCCCTGAAGTTCTGATATTCAGCCAGTTCTTCATCCAGCACACTGTGAACCTGATCATTGCAACAGCTTGTCCAGAAGAACACTTTGAGAGACAGCACCAAAAATCTTACCAAAATCTTACTAAATATTACTAAAAAGAAAGAAAAGCCTTACCCACCACCTTCCTTTCATCTACTAGGCAAGTAACCCTATTCTAGATGGGTATCAAATTAATTAGGCAGGACTTTCCTTTCATCATCCCACAATGACTATGCCTGGTGATTGCATTGTCCTTGAAAAACCTTTTAATAGCACCCAGTTTGATTTGACAGGCATCCAGTCAAAACAGTTGTCCTCTGGATTCATTCAGCAGTATAGAATTACTTTTCCTATGTTGCTGCCTCTTACATCCCATATCGGATATTGCAGAGCTGTTCACAGGCTCTGGAAAGAAATAATTTTTTTATCATTGCAGGCTTTCCAAAGTCCAGGGTGTATTTTACATCCTGAGAGATTTCTTTTTATCTTCTTGCAAATATCCTTTTCCAAAGAAACCAGAGACACAAAACACTCACTGAAAACATGAAAATACAGTGTGAACAAAATGGAAATAAAGCAAATTTTGTTTTATTCATAAATATCAAATAAGCGTAATTATTGGTGACATTTAAGATGATGTTAAAATGGTAATATAAATTTCTTAGAGCCTATATAAGGCCCACAAAAGCTTTTACTTCAGGTTTTCAGCAACTACATTTCTCTTAGAGGAAAATGTTAATTCCTCTGCTTTCAGCAAATCCTTTGCCTTTCTTATACTTGCATTTAATGCTCATCATTAACAGCTGCTGTGTATAAATATTTACTCTATTTTGTTAGCATGGTATCCAAGGAAATGATGTCTTTGTGATAGTACATTCTGGTTTTATGTCCTTCCTCTCCCCAACTAATAACTTTTGAAATTGCTGGCCAATTTTTCTGAAGGAGTAGAGGTCTTGGAAAATTCCTTAGGAAGGTCATGAAAACAGGCAGCTGGAGAGAGGATAAAGACTAACCAGACATGAAACTGAGCTCAGCTCAAGGCTCATAAGCAGAGAAAACCACACTGTGCTGTTACCACTACACTTCACTTGTGTATTCCTCTCTTCATATTTTACTGGTGCCATATTAGCTTTAACAACCCCTTGTATCTTTCTCATTTCATGTCCAAGATCCACAAAAATGTGAGAAGAATAGGCTGAGCCCAGACAGACTTGGCTGGAGCCTTTGGAAGACATTTACACAGGACCAAATTCAATCAAAATTTAATGGATGAAACATCCAGAAATCTCATCTCCAAAGGTGACATACTCCAGTGACTCACTAACAAATTCTTCCACTGTCTTTGTAGTAACACCGGGGTTTTGGTACTTTGTCATTGGAGCAGAAACACCATAAGAAATTGCTATCTAAAATTAAAAAAAAAAACCCAAAAAAACAACAGTGTAATGCCATCTAAACTTACATAAGGCACTCTGCAGAATCCCATAGCATATGACATATTTTAACTGATATTTGCAATGGATGAGGATACTATATGGAATCAGTGATAGTGCTATGGTGAAATAATTTGAAAATTTAAAAAGCTGCATGTAGAGGGGAGACAGAACTTTTTCAGAGGTTGACTGAGGACAGCTACACAACACAGATTTATACATCTCAAATATTCTTGAAGAATTTGCTTAAATGAAGGCTAATATAGCAAGATACAGAAACACCTGTATGATAATTACCTTTGCCTTATGCTCTGCTTGTAGTGATTGTAGAAGTGCTTATAAAAGCCGAGATAGAATATAACCAAACCAAACAAAACAAACCATTAGCATAGAAAACTCAGTGCTTTCACTGAAATAAGAGTGAACATGTCCCTAGCACACGTGGTCTAACATTGTACAATCTAAGGCCCACGGCAGCGGTGGAAAACACAGAAATGAAGTTTTCCAGGTACAGTTTCTGCTGGTGCACCCGGGCGAGGCTGACTCTTTCTCTGCACCAGAAAAGATGGAACCTGGCACTGTCCTGAGCTGGACATGCAACAAGTATTACTGCAGACTGCACTGGAATCTTTGACACTTTTGCGAAAAAGTAGAGATATACACGCGCAAGTCCCACGTATTATAACTATTGTTTCTTGTGGCTCTGTGCTCTGGATGATCCCTACTGTGCCAGTCAGACACTTGCACTTGTTTCTTTTGCACTGAAAAGTGGAGCAAAATGACTTGTACCTTCAGTATTTACCTAGCAGCACAACCTACAGACAAATGTTTCAAAGTCAAGTATTTCTGAATTTGAAGGAAAGTTTTAGCTTCAATCTTTTAGATTTATTTAAGTTTTTCTCCACACCATGCACATACTAACTTTATGCAAATGTTGAGTTTCTTTCAAGAGAGATTTTAGGAGTTAGATCTTTGAGAAACAGTCAGAAACTTGATGACGTTGAATTGCTCCTCTGTAATGAAAAATATAAAAGTCCTAGTAAAGGAAAAAAACAGACTGCTTTTCAAACTGATCTTCCGATAGTCTTAAAATTGTAACACCAACGCTTTCATGATATAATGATGACAAGTAAAATAATTTCCTTCCAGGGGATTAAAAAAATTGTCACAAACAAACTAACAAAAACACAAACCAAGCCAAAACAAAAGAACCCCCAAAGTTAAAAGATGCCTGAGAATGAAAAAAGACAAGGAGACAACATAATCCTACTAATGTACCATATCACTTGGAAATAATGTTAAATAAACACTTTTAAGGATCTAAAATTGTCTAGTTTGAATGAAGTTCAAATTTTGAGCAATGAGGGATTTATATAAAAGGAGAAAAAGGAAATAGAAAACTATACTTTCTTACCAAGGATAGCTCTTTTTTTTTTTTTTTTCTTTTTTTTTTTTTTTGCCAATCTAAACTTTAGCTACGTTCAAAAAAATATCATTAGAATTTTTCATTTGAAGGAAACCTGAGCTGATCAAGTTCCTTTTGGAGTTTTACTCAAAATCATTCATTCCTCACTTTTGCAAGTTCAAGGATTCAAATTCAGAGCAAAAATTCAAGGTGAAATCTGTGTAGTTACGCAACTCACCAGTCACCTACCAGAAATTTTATTCTTGGTTCCATAAGCAAAACCTAGCACTTTTGTGCATCTCCAGTTTTAAGTAAACTAGAGAAATGAGCATAGTAAAATACATCACTTCCCAGAATGAAGACAAATTGTGAGTACTGGTATAATACTATTTAATCACAGGCAAAATCATTCCAAGGATCAGACATACCCTGAGCTGATTTCATTTACATAGTTTCACTGATTCTTGGTTGTCAGGTAGTGCTAATTTACATTACTTCATTATTTCAGTGGAGCAGTGCTATTTATATACTGATCATTTGTTACACTGATACAATGCTGTGATAAACACTTAATGGGGATTTCTTCATAAAGCAACGTGAAAGATTTACCTTAGTAGCTGAGTACATTGTATATAATGGACAAGGGAAAGTACACAAATCAAAGGACAGATTCAGAATTAGAACTTTCTGACTGCAATTTAATTTAAACAGTTACATTCTGTTGACACTTTACAGGATTATAGTAAAAGGCTGCATGAGCAGAAAACATTTTTTTCCCCAGAAGGCATAGGTCTCCTATTATACTCTCAAGTGTGCCTTCAAAAGACCCCCTTTTTACAGTTTAGTTTGGTCTAAACCAGGCAGGAATAATGTCATAAGTGAAAATTAAATGCCTGCTGCAATCAGAACCATGGGAACATTGTACATGCAATTGTACATCTAACAGAAAAAAGTCTGTCATCAGAAGAAAGTTTTTATTCTCCTAAGTAATTGGCAGATCCCCTTTGGTCTTTAGCCAACACATTCTTTTTTCTGCTCCATGGATCTTCTGGTTTAGCTTCCCCATTCACAACTCCCTGTACACATCACTAAAATCCAACGCATTTAGCAATAATGAGGAAAAACAAAACAAAACAAAATGAAACATAAACAGTAAGAAATATATTTTTTGCCAAAACTAAAAGCATGTACTGGCCTCAAAAATGCAGTATTCAACAATGTTTTCTAGAAAATCCATCCAAAGAGCCTAACTTCTAGTTTAGGGACCCCATGTCTAAAATACATGAAGTATTAAAAAGAGGACAGAGATCCTTAATCACAGAGATTAATTAATGTCTCTGATTAGTTATATGGGTATTTTCAGACTTTGAAAATCATTATTGCAAGCCAAACTACTACTCTTAGAAAAATTGATGATACATTCAAATGCTGTTTCTTGCTCGATTAGGCCCATCACATCCTATTCTATTTCTGCCACACATTTGTAACTGGGAACAGATACATATTTTGCTTTCTGCCCTGTTCTACAATTGTCTGACAATTTGTGGGAGTTCCTATACATATAATCATACAGCACTAGCAGAAGTAGAAGATATCTTACTGATTGATAGACTGTGAAGTCCAGAATTTAATGAAAGAGCCTAACTACCACTAAAGGCATTGAAGGTAGAAGCTTAACAAAGTTCAAAGTTATAGAAAAAACCACCTTGATTGCATCTGTTTCAAAATAATTTTTGTCAATTATAAGACAAGTATTTTAAGATTTTTTTTTCCATTCCCCATTTTCCTGATAGCGGTTTTGAACTAATTTTATTTATTAACAAGTTTTTTCACTTGATCAAGACATATATATATACAGCTCAAATAGCTAAAATATGGCACATTCAATATTTTGGAAAATATTTTAGAAATGCTTGTGGCCTGAAAATTATCTGAGTTGTCAAAAAATTCCAAAGGTTAGTCTTCTAAGCAGTGAGAGTCTTAAGTTTATCCAAAGCTTTTCAACAGTTTCTGAATTTCATCATTCTGCAACATGGAATCACAGCTGCAAGGAGAAAGTCAACTCCATATTCTTTTTGCATTTTCATTTCTGCCTGTAGCTGGATCAGAAATTGCAGAAAATCAGGAAAATATATCATTTTTTTCTTCTTCCAGAAAGAGTTTTAGGATCTTTTTTTGTGCTAATTATTTTATTTTTTTTTTATTCTTATTTTAGCAATAGACTTAATAATGAATCTGATTTTTAAAGTGAAATGAGATGCATTTCTTCAGGTAAGAAATCAGCTTTTCTTTGTGCTTTTGAAGCGTATTATTGATAGTAAGCCTTAACACCAAGAAAAAGTCATACTTACACTATGAATTGAGTAAGCAGTGTGACCTAACTTGTAAAGGGCAGTAGTGAAAAGTAGTGCAAATTAATGGCACAGTTTAATTGAATACTTGTTATTTCCAGATTTTTTTTTTTTTTTAGCAGTGTCACTGTGCTCAAGAGGATAGTAGGAGCAGAGTGGGGTTGACAAAGTCTGACAACACAGGTCAGTCACATCAGCTTGGATTAAGAGCAATTTCCAAATAAACAGTGGGAGTCAGGATACCTGGACCTCAGGCATTACACTGCAAGAAATGGTGAACAGGATCTTAGCAGGAATCCAGACAGGGAGGGGAAAGGAAAATCCAAAAAGATTTAAAGATTATTTGGACCTAACTATGAGGAATGCTGGTTAGGAGAATATTTTCTTCTCTGTAATTTGGAGGAAAATGAATATTCATGAAACACTGAAAAGAATGTGGTGCAGCAGTGGGGAAAGCAATGCCCAGGCACTGCAAAAACAAAAGAGTTTGATTCTGAGATATATGTAAAGCGGGATATGACAAAAAGAAGAACCTTCTGTATCCAGACCGAGAGGGTACAGAATGGCATATATATATAGCATTCAGGTATTGCAGATATTTCTGTTCTTTTGACACGGAAATAGAATATATCCTAGGAGCAGAATGTCACGAAGGTACTTACAGAACTTGCTTCTATTGATCGGTATTACATGATTTATTATCTTAAGTCATTAGCAGCAGTACAAATTTGGGAAGTAAATTTTGAAAGTCAGAGAAGGAGAATCATCTGCTGTTAATTTTCATGTCATTTTTAGAAAGACCTGAAAGGCATGAAAGCCAAGGTTGAGATCTTCTGCTCATATTCATGTTAACATGCTGCTTGCAAACAGCAGAGCAATACAAATCTTAATCAGAGCTGAAAAGCATGAAATATTAAATGTTCTTGGAGGGGAAGGAACCAACCAAAATTGGCACCAAGGGGTAACAATACAGAATTAGGAGACAGTTCCTGGAGTTTCTGTCCTGCATTGATACAAAAACATTTGGCAAAAGAGAATTTGGCAAAAGAGACAAAAACCACAAGTACCGTGCTAAAATTCAAACTGCAGATTTACCTGTCTTGAAAACTTTAATTCTGAAGCAAATCTCCCTGCATACCAAAACAAAAATGCTTTGTGAAATGTTTTAGCTGTTTCAGCTGTAGTGCAAGGATGTGTTTCAACTGAGAAATTGTGTTAAAAATTTTCCAGTCAGTTCTGATCAAAATATTTCACAGGTAATAGAAACAGGTGGGTTCCTTAAATTAACACTGACATTCCTGCTGAAAATCACTGTCTGCTGATGAATGAAATTATAATACACAGAAAAGCTAGTTGGTCCACCTAACATGGGACTGATTTTTTTCTGGTGAAGTACATTACAGCCCCAGAACAGATGGGAAGGTGTCACACACCTACCTGGAACAGAAATAGTATTGCAGTTGACAAGGTCCAGCAGGAAGCAACAAAACAGTAAATTCATCCTTAAGCGAGAGTTTGAGGGAAGCAGCCTGCCTGAGATTCTCTGATTTGGAAGAGAAGATGACACAAAAACTGAATGAATCCTGAGAGAGGTGCTAGGAAGATACACACTTAGAAATTCTGGCCTTTTCATTGCAAATGATATAGAGGTAAATAACAATAAGGCAATGAAGAACTTGATCACATCCTTAATCCTGTCACTCAATTGAACCACTGTAAATTAATTCCCCCACAAAGTAAACAACATTTAAATGAGGTATCTTTTTTCTTTCTTTTTTTTCCTTTTTCTTTCTTTTTTTTTTTTTTTTCTTTTAATTTGGTTGGTTTATTGGCTTATTTCCACATACTTAAGCAAAGTCCCCAAGAAACTAAGTTTTAATAACACTAACAAGAACCCAATATTTCCAGCTGCGACTGTGAATGGACTGGACCCCATCACACTACAGGGTGTCAGGGGGTCTGCTAATCCCTGTTAGAACAGGTCAGCTGTACTCTCCCCTCTATCGCTGGATGCTGCCTGCAGTTTAGCTGAAAACTACCATTCTTCTTCTCTTTCAAGCTCCTCCAAGCATTAAACCCAAATCAAAATATGCTTCTTCAGGCCCAGCTCCTTTCCAGCCCAACTGAACAGTTAATACTTGATTGCAGCAGGGGCAAAATCTGTGCCTTGTTCAATGAATTACCATTCCTCATTGTAATATTAGAGGATGAAATCTACAGAATAATCCTAATTCTTCTATGTTTGGCCCATTAATGAAATAGCATGGAAGAGGATTATGAATCATTCCAACATTGCTAACTAGTCAGGGAAAATTCAATGTTAACAATCAAATCTAGACAAAGTGCATAATTCTTCTAGTTAAACAAAGTGCTTCTCTTCAAGACCCAGAAGAACAAAGCTGCATGTGAAGAGAAACACTATTTAGCATCAAGACTTGTTTTCACTGAAGTCACTGATACTGATGAGGGCTGTCTCTGGGGAACAGAAAAACAGACTGCTGCTAAAGCCATTTGTGTATTATTGCTGTTGTTTCATTTCTTTCACTATTAAAAGGATGACTTTCTTTAAAAATATAAAAAATCCTCCCAAAACCCCATCTTTTCACTGTTGCTTCATGAGTCATAACAGATAATGAGCCACAGACTCATTATGTATACTTGGTTTTAATCATTGGCTAACAAGTTCTTACAACACATAATTTATACAATGGTCTGTTAAATACACTACAGCCATAAAATACTTGTCAATTAACAGACCTTAATGACTGACCCAGAACACCAATATCCAAGTGCTTCAGATCTTTTTCAACATTCTTGTACACTGAATTTTTAGTGAAATCAGCTTGTATAACCTTCACATTTTGATCTGTGGCCAGCTCCAGCAACTAAAGAAAAACCCAAAACCAAAGACCAACCAGCCAAGAAAACCTGTTCACATCTACTGAGAAAAAGGGAGAGCTGTAATAAGTAATGAGAGAAACAACCAGATGTCTTGCTAAGTAATGTCCATCGTACATCAAGCAATTGTTTCGACCTTCTTACTCTAAAAAATACAACACAAGAATAACACTCTCACTCTACCCAGCTGTTTTCAGGAAAATGGCTTGGCAAATATAGAAATAATTCAATCAATGGAAATCAATGGAATTTTTCTTACAAGACCTAAACAACATTAGGTCTTGTAAGAAGACCTTTAGTCCTTCAGTAAGGTAAAACAAAACAAATTCAGAAATAAGAAACACAGGACTTCTTCCCCTTGTTATCATAATATTTATAGATGAACACTGTCAGCATACGTTAGACAAATGAATGTGGATGCCAGATCCCCTACACAAGCACATCTTTGCAGAACAGTTTGAAAGAATTTTGATGGATAAGATAAGCAAGTGGAACTTATCTTTTTACACAAGAGGAGGGGTAAACAAGGATGGGTGGAATGCAGCATTTTCTGTATTATTTTTTTAAATTCCTTGCCTATTTTAACACTTGCACTCTCATAGTCTGAACCCTTCTTGGGATTTTGCAGCAATAAAAGGTATTTTAGGGAGGCTGTAGCTTAAATTTTACAACGTCAATTAGAAGGGAAAGGGAAACATGAGTAATTTTTCCAATGTCATTTCTATGCAGGAGGGGAGCCCAGCTGTACATTGCCATTTTTTTTCAGCAATTGATTTATTGCTGTTCATACTTTCAATGCAGTTTCATGAGGAAAAGAAGTAGAAACTCTTATTTACTCATTTTTAAAAGCAAGGCTCTCCTTTAAAAGGGCCCAAGAAGGTCTCCTCTAACTAGAGGTTCACATTGTAAATTTTTGCTACTAAATCCGCTTTCAAGTTTTATGGGCAACCTGAAATCCAGATGAAGTTTGCTGAAAAAGTGACAGGCAAAGCTTGGAAATGTCAATAGAATATCAGATTGCAGGCTGTCTGCAAGTGGCAGGAATTCAGGTGCACACTCATGGCAAAAAGTGCACATGGCATTTGGCAAAATGTCTCTTGCTGGTTTGTATTCTGATTTTATCATACAGAAGACAGAGAGTATTGCCTGGAATAAGAGTCAGACTTGCTGAATCATTACCCAGAAATTTTGTCTCATCCACTAAGAAGAGGCTTTGTGCCAGCTCCTGTGGGAGAGCAAGGATGCAGAAAGCTGGCTTTGGGTCCAGCAGGCCAATTTGCAACAAATCAGAACCTCTGTTGGAGTGGAGGAAGAGATAAAGTTGCTCCCTTCCAGTTGTTCCTCTTTGCCCCTCAAAGCTCTTTGCAAACTGCAAGTTTTGACCACCTTCATACAAGTAATGAAGTTTGAGGAAACAGCAAGCACACTGACTGCAGATCTGAAATGTGGGTTGCATCTTGTGTGCAGTTTTAGAGGACATCTGTCTCCAAGGCAGAAGAAAGGAGGAAGGACTGCCCTTTTTCTTGCCCTCTTTCTAAGCTGCAGTTCTGTGTATGAAAGGGACAAAACATCCTTTGAACCTTCAACCTATAAAAGCAACTCTAGTGGCAAATGACCCAGTCATGGTCCCAGGCTGGGCGAATGGCGAAACTATAAATAAAAGGACATTGTGAGTGTAAATGCAGTGAGTGGGAAAGAACAGAGCAACAGCTGGAGCAGACACCTACAGTGACCTTCTGTTTGAAGAGCTCTATAAACAAAATGAGATGGTCTTAAAAAGTATAGTGATGTTGTGGCCATCTTTCTCATGGGCAATCAGAAGGGCAGCCAAAACTAGAGCACAAAAATGAGGATCAAACAAGCCATTTGGACTTTCTCTGCAACTCCTTGTCTGTACAGAACTGTATGGCTGCAACCAGCACTGTCAGCCAACAAGCAAGTACTCCAGATGGCTTTCTTCAGTCTCTTATAAGAATAAACCAATATATTAAAAAACAATAAAACTCTCATGCTGACAAATGAATTACCCAGGGATAGCTCTTCAGAAAATTACAGCAATTCTGCAAAGGAAAGAGCCAAAAAACAATTTCCAATGTTTCTTATGTCTCTCCTTCTCTGTGACAGATTTATGATAGTCTTTGAACATACAAGCCATTACATCCCTGTTTAAAAGTCCTAAGTGTCCTAGAAGTAAAAAGCCTAGCTTTTCAAACACCAGGACAGGTTATTTTCTTTTTCTTTAAAAAAAAAAAATTATTTTAAATAATGGAGAGAAATTAATTTAAGGAAAATTAAAAGTGGAACCAAGTTGGTTAAGTCAATGTGTTATAACATGTATTGCTAAGACTTTTACATCTAACTCGTTCTGACCTTAGACCATTTGGAATCTGCTGTCAGATAGTATAATGTGCTGCTTTTTGAAATTTACCAAAAAGATAATAAGGGACAGCTGAATGAATTATCATCTTCACAGGTTTTTGTGGGAGTAACGTATATTTTGTCCTGGGCTGTGTAGGTTCCTTTTTTATTCAGTACTTAATTCTGTATCAGCAGACATAATTTCTGTATAGTTTCCTGCATCACCAAATCCAAATTCTTTAACTGTGTGCTCTGCTAATCTAAAGTGCTACAGCTGTATTTTCATTGCATCTGAGGATGACACACCTTATTTTTCATTTAAAAAATACTTGTTTCTACTGAAAAACCACAAAACGCCCATAAACAAAAAAACAACCAAAAAAAAACAAAACAAAACAAAAAACTCACAAACCAACACTAAAACAAGCAATCAGAACAAATAAAAAATAAAAATCCCTATCAAACCCTAAAACCAACACCACACTTGTGCTGAGGAATTTTGTACCTTGCAGAAGTTGCTTTTTTTGTTTGTTTGTTTATTTGGCTTTAACAACAGTATGGTACAGATCCTGAATATATAAATGGATCCTAATGCATTATTTTGCAAACAGGACCTAGCTCTGCCTGTACAGCTGGCTCAGGAAAAATAAGCAGAAGAAATGAAACAGGACTGCCGTTAGTAGCATTCCATAATTTCTAATCCCCTGGTATTGTGGTTTGATCAGTGTTTCACAACTACAGTACTAAATGTGTTAAATGAGCAGTATACCTGTGCTAGTGATTCTGTCTGCCCTCTGTAACACCTACTTTGGTATTTTTTATCTCATTTTAAAAGAGCTTTCCAGTCTGAATTAATGGAAATCTGGTTTTCAAATCCATTGTGTCTTTGGAGAAATGTTTTTCTTACTGTGGATTTCTGTCGGCTCCAGCTCGGAGTGCTGCTCTCAGGCACACCTGTGGCCCACAGAACTTGGAAAACCAAACATTGAGATGTCTGTAATTACCACAGTTTAGACTTTTCTAATTTATAGCACTCAGTATCCAAGCAGATGTGGCAGTATAATTAAGCAAATAATACAATCAGCTTGAAAATGGAGCAAGTCTTTTCAATATAATGTCCAATGGACTGCAAAAAACTATTGTGTGGATATTCAAAAAATGAAAAACGAGTAATGTGTCCAGAGCTCCCTGCTGGTTTTAGTGCATTCACATTAGATATTCTATGCTTTTCATTGCTGTATTTTTCGCTCTTTCCTTTTGTTTGTGCCATTTACTTGTTATTAAGATACTAATTTCCAATCTGACACAACAAATAACAGATGACTCACTCTGGACTTCAGCTAAAACCTGCTGAAAACAATTGAAATACTCCACTGGAATTTGCCACCTATTTCAGCAAGTTGTGGGAAAGGCTGTGACCACAACCAGGTGGAACAGTGTCTAAACCTCATCAGTGTAGCCTGACTTTTGGGGTCACACAACACAGCTCCCCACACCTTGGATTACATGGATAACACTGCTGCTGTCAGTGAACCTTGGAGCTGTCACTGAACAACTGAAAAGCCATGGGTGTGTGCAGAAGGTGGAGTGTTTGCAGGACAGGCAAGTCCTTCATTACATGCTGCTACACACTGCAGTGCAGTGTGGCCTCAGTTAGGAAGGCGTCCAGTGGGTGGCCTTGTGCTCAGTCATAGTGCAAAGGAATTTACAGCTTTCCTTGTCAGATACCCCTTGCTTTCCACGGGAAAATAAGCCTACCAGCCCCACAAAAAAAAAAAAAAAAAAAAAAAGGCATGTTGGATAGAAAACTTCTGGGTCCATTCCTTGATTTTGTGAGCTGCAGGTTGAAAATTTGCAGACTTTTTCACCCAAGTCTGCCACACTCCAGACAGATGTGCTGCTCTCTTAGGTAAGTACCCTGGACCTGATACTCTGCTGGACTCAGCTGCTAAGCCTTCTTAAAGGCAAGTCTTCCCAACTTGTATAGATATAGTCTTGGGCTGACACATACTTTTAAACATGTAAATCAAGTAATCTGCTGGATAGAAGCCATGTATAGAAAAAGAGACAGTGGAAAGAATGATTTTCATTCTAGCAATCTGTAAAGTTAATGGAGGATAAAAACTCACTTGGCTCCTAAATAAATTCTAACTGTCAATCTTAAAATATTTATACAAGACATTCACCAGGATTAATGGTTAATTTCCTTTGAAGAAAAGAAAGGGAACATTAATTCTAAAGGCACTCTATTTAACTGTTTCATCAAGAGCCAAATGTAATTTGAAAGCCTTAAAAAACCAACCAACCAACCCACCAACCCACCAAAAAACAAACTTGGTACTTTGATTTCATTGTTAGTCCTCTGCTCCGTTCCAAGAACAACTTTAAAGGTAACCTATTTATCTGTACTTACAGATTTTTAAGGGCAGATAAAGACAGTAAAGAGCACACATTCACTTATTTCAGCCCATTACACTCTTGAAAGAAAGCATATATTTTTAGAGTGATCCATGTCTAGAAGAGCTCAAAGGACAGAGTAACATAAAAAATTTTTTAGTATTGGAGAAATACTTGGAGGTACAGCTGTAGCAATATCAGCACCCTGCTGTGCTAGATAAGAAGAGAAAGG